TAATTTTGAATTATAATATATTTTTATTAACAAAAATATATATATATATATATATATATTAAGCCCATATAATTATTTTTATTTCATTGTGAGTTGTCAACCACAAAAAAAGTTATTATCGTCGATATATGAATGAAAATCATTTATTAACACTTCATAAATTATTTACAAATATTTTAAAGCTACTTAAAAAATGTGAGAGTCTCGTATTGGTTGGAGAGGAGAACAAAACACCATACTCGTTTTAAAGCCTTCACGGGAAGTCCGAAAGTGAAAGCCTAAAAAGAATAATATCTGCTAGCGGTGGACTTGGGATCGTTATAAATGGTACCAGAACCAGACACCGGACGATGTGTCAGCCTTCTCACTCTTCCTCGAAGGATGGTAGACATAAGACGGTGTGCCAGTAAAAATGCTGAGCTCCAAAGAGGGATAGATTTTGCAGGGGTCCCACATCGATTAAAGGACGGAAAGTTCTTGCTCTTCCTCGAAGGGAGGTAGACACGAGATAGTGTGCCAATAAAGACGCTGAGCCCCAAAGAGGGGTGGATTTGGCAGGGTCCCATATCGATTGGAGGAAGGAAAGTTCTTGCTCTTCCCCGAAGGTGGGTAGACACAAGACGGTGTGTTAGTAAAGACATTGAGCCCCAAAGAGGGGTAGATTTGACAAGAGTCCCATATCGATTGGAGAAAGGATAATAGACACGAGACGATGTGCTAATAAAGACACTAAGCCCTAAAGAGGGGTGGATTTAGCCAGGGTCCAAATATTATTGAAACTTTTCGAAGGATTATAAATAATTTTAAAAATAAAATACTATTTTATATTTATTTAACTTATAAAGTAAAAATTAATCAACAACTCAAATAATTTCTTAGATTTGAAATAAAGTAGCATAATTATGCAGGATTAAATTTTATATTAAGCTAAACAAATGGAGCGTTGAACTTTATATATATATTTTTAATATTCGAAGATGTTAAAAGCCATCAAATTGACAGTTTTTTCAGATTTTCTTATTAAAAAAATTGCCTAAAATTCCAGTGAAGTTACTTATACAATAAGTAAAGTAAAAATATAATAATAATAAAAGTGCCACGGTGTCATTATCTTTTTTACATTCAAATTAAAAATAAATAATAAACTCCACAAACAAAGTTGCCATTTATTTATAAAACTATACAATATAATATTATATTATATATTAACCAGATTTGGACACGATATTTTAATATCGTCATGTGCATATGATATGAATTCATATTATTGACTATAAAAATATATTATTATTCAGTATATCTCGGATATTATTAATTATTTAAAAACTCGACCATTTCATAATTCTACAGTAAAATATTTTCTATCAAAGTCATTAAAAAAATGTATTTTAAAAATATATTTTTTTTTACTTTTAAAAATTGAAGTTATTAACTTAGGAATAAAAAAAATTCAAGGAAGATATTTTATTTTTCTTAGAAATACAGAAAGATTAAAAAAATGTAATTATATATATATATATATATATATATATATATATATATATATATATATAAAATTTAATAATGGCATCTGAGAAACGTGGAGTGGGCACATCAGAAAATCAGGTGGTGGCAGATTTTGTGGGCAAATGGGACATTTACTTGTAAGAAAAAAAACATTAAAATCAGATAATGATTGATTTTAATAAATAAAAAATAAAGATTCTTTTAATATTTTTATTTTAATAAAAATAAATAAATAAATAAATAAATAAATAAATATATATATATATATATATATATATATATATATATAATTGGAGTATCAGATACACAAAGCTTGACAGAGAGCCACAGCTAAATTATGGTGTCTATGAACCTTGCTACACTCTTTCAACAAATCATAATTCCCAAAATGCCCTTTATCTTATTTATTCATTTTTTAATTTAAATTCCATTTTCATTCTTAATTAGTTTTATTTATTTATTTATTTATTTATCAAGATCAATATTTTAAGATTTTTAAAAACCAAGATAGAATAATAAGATTTTTAAAATTCAATTTAATGAATGAATTAATTAAAATAATAGAATTTAAATTTTTACATGATAATTAAATCATATTAATCGAACTAAACTGAACATAGTTGATTGGATGAAACTGAACTAGTCGAAGCCTTTACATGCACAACTCCTATATTTTCCTTTCTAGTAACACAACAACATTCGACGACATGAATGGCTACAAGAAACCAAACAGTAAGGAGGAAAATTGATCGAATCTCGAGTGAGCGACGAACGAGAACAATCAAAAGAGAGGTTTGATAGTTCGAAGTTTTTTGAACTAATGACGGTCAAGTACTCGATTGACAAAGAAGTCTCACTTTTTTTAACCTTTGAACACCTAGTTGTTAATTGGTCGCCACAATTGACTTCGACCGTCTCAATTAATTTATTAATTTCTCAATTTAGATACGGACAACACGTATAACCTACCAATCATATGCATATCTAGAAAGAGAAATGGTTAAAAAAAAATTGGTTAAAAAAAATGGTAATTGGTGGTATCAATTATTGATTACTTTTCCCTAAGTTGTTGGATGGGTAATAATTAACCATTTAGTTACGGCGCTGTTGTTTGTCGTTTTATTGCGCTGGATGCATACATACATCCATGCATCCCCTTTCATAAGAATAGTTCAGAGATCTTTCAAGTTTTTAACCATTTCATTATTTTTTTTATATAAATATATTCTAAAATTAAGCGTGTTTTTATTTAGAGTTGAATTTTTTTTTTTTAAATATGCTTAAAAAAAATTCGTATTAATTTACGAGAATAATTATAAGTAAATAATGTGATCATGTTATATATAGAAAAATATCGATAAACTCATTTTTTATTTTTCTCTTTATTTTTTTTTTAATTACTTGTTTTATTATTTATAATATTCTCTCCCATCCCATGTATCTTGTTTTATATTCCAAGTTCATGGACTTCAAACATTTGTCTATGACAATGACCTAATTCCCTTCATTATTTTTCCATATATATATATATAAGTTTTATAATTTTTTATAAATTATTTATTTTAGGTATTTCTAAGTCACAATATTTAGCTAGAGTTTTTATTATATGCTTTTATAAAGCAATACATTATCATAAAAGTTATGCTGTTTTTTTTTTCTTCTCATTATTATAATATTATTTTTGTATTATAATTATTCAAAATAATTTAGTTGTTATGTAAAAGGAGGATATATAGTAATCACGTTATTAAAATATATGTTAAAAAAGGTAAAGTATGCTAAAATAACTCGTATATTAGTATATACAGACGATAATATATATATATATATATATATATATATATATATATATTATTAGGGATGGGATAACATCCATATCTTTTTCAAGCTTGATTATTTATATATATTAAAGATTGGATAATATCAATATCTTTTTCAACGTATCGCTTAATTTGTATGATATGATTTATTATTATTATTATTATTATTATTATTATTATTATTATTATTATTATTATTATTATTATTATTATTATTATTATTATTATTGTGTAAGACATACTTTGTGTTCATTTTAAAATAATTAAAATTATTTTTTTAAAGTTTAAATTATTTCAAAATATGTCTCTAATCATTCAAGTTATTATAATATTTATATCGATTTAATATTTTAACTTTCAAAATTATAAAATTAAAAAATTATGAAAATTTGTGATAATTTTTAAAAAATTAAAAAAATAAAAATGGATTGAAAGGATAGCAATCCATTTGGCGTTTTCTAAAATTCTAAGTTTGATTAGATTTGATTCCCACGTGTCAGATCAGCACGTGCCGACCTGAATGGTCAAGATTTATCCCATGTTCTTCCAAATTTAGCAAAAGTTTGTTAGCTTTTCATGAATAAAACCTAAAATTCCTATTTATCCATATCTCTTACAATTTTGTTTGAATTTGATGTTAGTTTTAACTTTTTAAACAAATATTTAAATTGAATTTTGTAAATATTTATAAATAAATTATGATTATAAAAAATTCTCATGACTCAGTGACCTAAAAAACTCATCAATTTAACTCAATCAGCTTAATTTGAATTGAATTATCGACTTATTTAGGTCGAGTTTCATTTAAGTAAATGAAAATTATTTTATGGGTCGGTTTGAATAATCAACTCAAATTTATTTAATTAATTTTTTTTGTCATATTTATTTTATTTTTGAATGCTTGAAAAAATAAATATTCTATTCGTTTAATAATTTATTTTTATTTAAATTATTTACTATTTAATAACTATTGATTCTATTTTTATATACTTGGATTTTAATGCAAGTAATTAATTATAATCTAAGAATAATGAAGTGGGGAGTTTTAAAATTGCGTAATGCCAATAAATATCCATTTAATGAATAGTTTTAAGTTTGTCAAACATAATTTATGGATCACTAAAAATTAAATTAAATAATTAATTATTTTTACGATATTTAACTAAATATTATCCATTTTGAATATAAGCTCTCGTATTTTTATTTTTAGTTACAATAAAAATAATGTTATTTACTTATAAATCAATATTTTTTTTAATTAGTTAACGTGCCACTATTTCTCTCAATAATCTTCGTTATTTTATCAATTAACTTCTTAAATAAAAATATCTAAATTTATAGGGAAAATTATATGAAGAAAAGAAAAAAGAAAAAAAATTGTGGATATGGATATACTAAGAAAGGATCAACACAAAATACCACCTGTCGGAGGAGGGGGCCCCACATCCTACGTTGTCGTTCTCCGATTGATGGACTGTTCTGTCCCACATGGCAACCACGTGTTCTCACCCCTCCATTCGTGTCCCCACAACTGTACACGTCATCATGTCATGAAGGAGTCATCATGCATACATACATACATAATCCAAATAAAAAAAAAACAAAAAATAAATTTTAAAAAGGAAAAAAACAGTTGCTTTTCCTATTTCACTCGGCTTTATAAACCCGAGGCGCTCTCACCAGCTCCGTTGCGGACACGTTTTACGAAAAGAGGAGCGAATTTTAAAAAGGAGGAGAAAAATGGGGAGTGATTTGTTTAGCGAATCTGAAACGTGGGTTTCTTCTGTGAACGGAATTCGAGAGGAACCAGATGATGAAATCTCCATTGAAGTAGAGGAAGGAGTTGTGTCGGATTCGGATTTGGATGAGTCGGATCAAATGGGAGTGAAGAAGAAGATGAAGATGAAGAAGAGGAATCAGGTTTTGCTTGAGGGATTTGTGGAGGATGAGGATGATTTGATGAGGACGAAGAGCTTAACGGATGAGGATCTTGATGAGCTTAAGGGATGTGTGGATCTAGGGTTTGGTTTTAGCTACGATGAAATTCCGGAGCTCTGCAACACTCTGCCGGCGTTGGAGCTCTGTTATTCTATGAGTCAAAAGTACATGGACGATCACCAGAAGTCGCCGGTGAGCTCACCGGCCTCGGCGGCACCGGTGGATTCGTGTTCTTCTGTGTCGAGTCCGATTGCGAATTGGAAGATCTCCAGTCCTGGTGAGTGGTCTTTTTCTGTGCGATCTCGATTTCGGAACTGGATTTGTGCAGTTTGAATTGAGCATGAGCTGAACTTGTCTCTTAGTTGATTGAACTTTGATTCTAATCTCTAGACTATAATCCCTTCTAGTTTTGTTTCTAACTTGTATGAATAATTGCTTCGAGGCTAAAACAGAGTAAAAATATTTGAAAATTTAGAGATCTAGGACGAAAACCTTCATTATTTTCCTGCTTCTATCGTAAAAATGTGTGTAGTTTATCAAAAATATACTGAAAATAATAGTTAATTTACTCTGATTTATGACTAAACATCTGAGTTTAGTACTCGATATGTTCTTCGATTCCACGAGTATTAAGAACATATTGAAAAGAAAGATTACATGTTCTATAATCTAGAGCTTAGGATTGTAATATATAAGATATCCTTCTTTTGCTAAACTTTGTTTGCTCGAACAGGTGATCATCCTGAAGATGTTAAGGCAAGGCTCAAATTTTGGGCTCAAGCAGTGGCATGTACTGTTAGATTATGCAACTAAGAACACCATGGAATGGAAGTTTTGGTTTGTTAGAGAGAAGTGAATACGTATTTTTGCAGTAGTAACCTTTAGCCTTATGGTCGACGACGTTGCGCGCGTCTGAGAAAGATGGAACGAACGAACGGATCGGTTGACGAGTCTGACTTACGAAGAAGGAGAAGAAGGAGAAGAAGAAGAGGAATGTGTCAGGTTTGAGATTAACCATACATCAAAATGAGTCTGACTAAGATAGAGTTTGTAAAATATGTAGTTCTTTTTGTACATTTGAGAATAAATTAGCATGAGTTCATCAATTCTATATCTCCTGTTTGTTTTGGTTTAAACATTAGCCGGTGGTCTTGACTTTGAGAGCCTAGATAGTAGCTTCCATAACACCCAATACCCAAGTCTCTATCCTTGACCTTTTTGCATATGCTGAGGTAACTAACTGTGCTAACCTAACCCATCAAACTGGTTCTTCTTTTCTCTGTTTTGACCCAATCTGAAGGTAGCTGACCTGATTTCACCTACTTGTAGCCGCCCAAGTTCATAGCGAGTAGATATTGCCCTCTTTGAACTTTCCCTTTCAGACTTTCGTTCAAGGTTTTTAAAACGCGTTTGCTAGAGAGAGGTTTTCACACCCTTATAATAAATGTTTTGTTCTCCTCCCCAATAGATGTGGGATCTTACAATCCCACCCACCTTTGGGGCGCAGTGTCTTTGCTGGCACTCGTTTCCCTCTCCAATCAACGTGGGACCCTCCAATCCACCCCTTTGGGGCCCAACGTCCTTGTTTGCATACCGTTGGGCGTCCACCCCCTTTAGATTTCAGCCTCCTTATTGACACATTGCCCGACGTCTAGTTTTAATACCATTTGTAACAGTTCAAGCTCACCGCTAGCAGATATTGTCTTCTTTGAATTTTTCCATTTAACCTTTCCCTTGAAGTTTTTAAAATGCATTTGCTAGGGGTGACTAGAGAGAGGTTTTCACACCCTTATAAAGAATGTTTCGCTTCCTCCTCAACAAACGTGGGATCTCACATAATCCCTTCTAGTTTATGCTATTCAATAACTCGAAATTAGATCCCGGGAGCGTTGTGTGTTCTCGCTCTCGTCTCTACTTACTGATTTCTGATTCCCCTTGTGGCTTGGATGGTTGGATTGATATTGTAAAAGTTGAAAGGTTCCGACTTATGATGTGTTTGTAGCATAGTTCATGAGTTGATCAGTTCAAGTATTGAAAAAGTGATATTACAAAAGGATTATCCAATTCTATATGAGGTTGGTCATATGGTTGGATAGTGACTTCAGATAATGTTAAAAAAGGTTACAGTATTTCACTTTGATACTTCAATCATACTTGACCTTTTCCAAGTTCTGAGGCTTTGGCGTTTTGTATTGAAAACTTGTGATATGATACTTAATTTTGGTTTGATTTCGAGCACAAGTTAACCAAATCTCGAGTATATAGTTTGGGATAAGGTTAGGTGTTCCATATTTGACCTTTTTCAGATTCTGAGACTTTGGGGCGTATGATACTTAATTTTGGTTTGATTTCATGCATAAGTTAACCTATTCTCGAGTGTATAATTCTGTAGATAAGGAGTTTATAATCGTCTTAACGATTGATGGTTTGATGTTCTACTTGCAATACACACACAACAAAAATATAAAGTAAATCGAGAAACTTAAAACTGTTTAAAAAGAGGCTTCTAACCTATGCCTCCAAATCGAGAAGTACTTATCAATCATCTTGTCACAATTTCATTTAATGATGTCATGTCGATCAAAGTATGCAAGACGCCACATACATATAATAATATTTGTATGATACACGTCAAACAAATTAATCACACAGCTACCACAAGCACACATATCTAATATCGGACATATAAAAAAATAGATGAATTAGACCACTTGACCAAATACGCTAAATCAATCTGTGCACTCATACGCAATCCCAGGTCGTGGTGCAAATCTTGACGTTCACTCTTTTCAATCTCAGTATTAGGCAGAAATGACAACTACTACCCTTCTTCAGATATCTACACGAAGCACGATATAAACTATTACAACATCAATAAAATTTTTAGATCGAAAGTCCAAAACATTAGCATAATCAAAAACTCGCCCCAACGAATGAATCCTAGTGCTTCTGTTGAAGGCTGATGTGCAACAATCAATAGTAGCAAAACGGTGATAGTTGATGGCGAAAACGAACGACAAGGATTTCCGTATTCAAGAAGATGATCTGTCGGCGTGATGAAACCGAACCTAGAGTACGAAATTTTTTTTTATTTAGTCATTACATTTTAAAATATTATGCTTTTATCCCCGAGTTTTGATAATCGACATTTAAAAATCAAAAAATATAAACAAATGTTAATAATTGAAATTTTCTCATATTCCAAAAAAATTAAAATAGAATCAAAGGCTTATTTGTTAATTTAGAAAATGTTTTTTTTTTTTTTTTTTTTTTAAATTTCCAGAAATATTAAACGGGTCGAAATTTAAAGCTAAGAACAGTAGGAATTTTCCAGGTTGAACCTATTGGTTTCTCATCGATGTTGAGCACGAGCACCATTAGGAATGCTTCGGCGTACCTCAAATTCGTTGCTTATGGCTTCTCTTCATACTCTTCCAGCACTTCATCGACCAGAAAGCGCACTGCCATAGCTCCAAGAGCTCTTGCAAGAAGACCCACTTCGCGAACTGCCCCAATCCCTCGGGCTTTGGACACAGATGCCGTCAGTTCAGTATGTTCTTTACTTTCAAACAAAAATCACCAAACAACTAATCTCGAACTTGATCATTTATTGAAAAGATTCAAAGAAACCTTGAGCTCGGATTTCGTTCTTCAAATTCTGATGAATTATAGGCTGTTCGGTAGGGCTAAAACGCTAGAATTCTTCTCCTGGTCTGGATTGCAAATGGGGTATCGGTTTGATGAGTCCGTGGTTGAGTACATGGCTGATTTCTTAGGTAGAAGGAAACTGTTTGATGATATGAAATGTCTTTTGGTGACGGTGTCGTCTTATAAAGGTCGGATTTCTTGTCGAACATTTTCAATTTGTATTAGGTTTTTGGGTAGGCAAGGGAGGGTTAGAGAAGCACTTTGCTTATTTGAAGAAATGGAGCCAAAATTTGGGTGTAAACCTGATAATCTGGTCTTTAATAACATGCTTTATGCACTTTGTAAGAAGGAACCAACAGGGGAATTGATTGATACTGCTCTAACAATTTTCAGAAGAATTGAATTGCCTGATAAATATTCATACAGTAACATAATTATTGGATTATGTAAATTTGGTAGGTTTGGTACTGCTGTTGAAGTGTTTGATGAAATGCGTAGGGCAGGTTTGGTACCTACTCGATCTGCTGTGAACATTCTCATTGGGGATTTGTGTTCATTGAGTGCCAAAGAAGGGGCTGTAGAACAAGTTAGGGTCAGAAGTACTCGTAGGCCTTTTACTGTCCTAGTTCCAAATGTGAATCCGAAGAGCGGAGCCATTGATCATGCAGTTGGAGTTTTTTGGGCAGCTAATAGGCTGGCTTTAGTTCCCAGTACTTTTGTAATAGTTCGGCTCATCTCGGAGCTTTGTCGATTAGGCCAAATGCAAGAAGCAATTAGAGTATTAAAGGTTGTCGAGGTTAACAAGCTAAGGTGTACTGAAGAGTGTTATTCCATTGTGATGCAAGCATTGTGTGAACATCGTCGAGTAGACGAAGCTAGTGATCTGTTTGGGAGGATGCTTTCTCAGGATATGAAGCCAAAGTTGGCTATTTATAATTCTGTTATTTGTATGCTATGCAAATTAGGAAATTTGGATGATGCTGAAAGGGTCTTCAAGATTATGAACAGGAAAAGATGCGTCCCGGATCATGTTACTTACTCGGCGCTAATCCATGCCTACGGTGAAGCTAGGAATTGGTCAGCGGCCTACAGTTTATTGAAGGAAATGTTGAGTTTAGGCATATCCCCGCATTTTCATGTGTATAGTATGGTGGATAAACTAATGAGGGAAGATGGGCAAACTGATCTGTGCTTGAAGCTGGAAATGAAGTGGGAATCCCAAATTTTGCAGAAACTTTGTAAACAAGGACAACTGGGGGATGCGTATGAAAAGCTAAAGTCAATGCTTGAAAAGGGTTTTTATCCTCCTATCTATGTAAGAGATGCTTTCGAGAGCGCGTTTCAAAAGAAGGGTAAGTTTAAGATTGCTCGGGAGTTGCTGCAGACGATGGACGGAGTCCACGAACATGAGTCGGATTCCAGAAAGGCATCATGAGTTATCGAATGGAAAGCCTCACCTTTCAATATCAAAGAAATTGTGAGTAGTAGATTTTTCATGCTTGATATGCTTGATTGGCTGCATTGGTTACATTATTGCACGCTTCATTGTGTTTAAAAGCTAGTTGATTGACTGAAAACTCGTAGATGCACATTTAGTTTACTTTTACGGTGTAACAACCTAAGCTCACTGCTAGCAGATATTATCCTCTTTGGGCTTTCTATTCCGGGATTCCCCTCAAGGTTTTTAAAACGTGTCTGCTAGGAGGAGGTTTCCACACCCTTATAAAGAATGCTTTGTTCTTCTCCCTAACTGATGTGGGATCTCACAATCCACCTGCCTTCAGGCTCAGCATCCTCGCTGACACTCGTTCCCTTCTTCAATCGATGTGGGACCCCCCAATCTACCCCCTTCGGGGCCGAGCATCCTTGTTGGCTTACCGCCTCGTATCCACCCCCTTTCGGAGCTTAGCCTCCTCGCTAGCACATCACTCGGTATGTGGCTCTAATATCATTTATAACGACCGAAACCCACCGCTAGCAGAAATTGTCCTCTTTAGGCTTTCCCTTTCAGACTTGTTTAAAACGCGTTTGCTAGGGAGAGATTTTCACACTCATATAAAAAATGCTTCGTTCTCTTCCCCAACCGATGTGGGATCTCACACTTATTTTCAGCCTTGACAAATATTTGGAAGCTCGAGCTTCTCTTGAAGGCCCTTCCCGTGAAAGCTCACCCACCCACCGAAGATCTGCATTCTAGGAGACCTCACCTCCTGGGTCGACGTGTGCAGTTTGCTGGGGTGTCTTCGGCCTGCTTGTGCGATTGTGACACTAGGCACTTGTACTAGCTTTGACGAGGTTGGTATCGATTAGAATTACCCGCTTTTGCGTTATAAGATCATATATTGTTCTCTCTTTCAGTTGAATCCAAATAACCTTTGTTTCTTCTTCCTACAGAATACACCCCACCCCAGAACAATAACAATGACGACATAGAGGGCAAGAAGGCAAAGACTTCCAACTAGTTCCACATGTTATAAAAATGGAGTAGGACGGCTAGTGATATACGGGAGGGAGAGTAGAGATGATGTCAAGTCCCGACTCCTTACAACTCGCACCAGATTGGTCTAGAAATTAGAGTGGCTACATCGGCCGAGATATACATAGAGAGACTTTACAAGAAATGCCTCCCTCTATTTTGCAAAACAAAAGCTATTCTCGCCATTCGCGAGCGCTTATGTTATTTATTAATTTAACAATCATGAAAAGCGATGTCAATTAATTTCACTAGATAAGTGCCTAATTCTACAATATTTGATGTAAACAAAAATGATTTAATATTCAAATTAGATGTGCAATATTTTATAAACCCAATACCTCAACAACATCTCGGATCGTTTAAAACTGCATCACACCATGATTACTTTATCAAATATGAGGCATTGAGGTTCACATCTAGTTTCCTGAAGACGAGTCGAGCTTCAGCTTTCTGCCTAAGACTAAGCCTTCAATGTGATGAGAGACGATCTCATCTTAACTTTTATGGCTAAGTAGGTCAACGTCTCAAATTTTACAATTTTATTCTTGGATGTTAGATGGATCTATCGAGACCGATTCTGGTAGTACCATTGTTTTTTATTACACTTTATTATATATATTAATTCTCATCACAACAAATGAATCTGATTCACTAGATGTCATGGTCAACGAGGGGGATAAAAAGGAAGAAAATAAAAGTAAAAATAAGATTATTATTATTACTATTTATTTATTTATTTATTTATTTATAAGGAATAAAAACCTAATTTCCCTATTCAAATGGTAAAAAAAGAAAAAAGAAAAAAGATTTTGGGTTTTTGGATTAACTACAGCCATTTTCGTAGCTCTACCGCATCCCTTCCATTACCTCACGCTCGCGCCACGCCGCCGCTATTCCTGCCCGACGCCGTCTCAGCAGCTGCTGCTGCACTCTCATCTGCCCCAGTTCTGCCTTGCGACAAAATCGCCGCCGTCCCCTCCCTCTCTTCCAGCAAGCGGAGTTACTAAAGCGGCTATTTTTGAGTACCCACAGAAGCGAACTGAAACGGGTATTTAATTATCTCAAAACTGAGCTGACCAGACCAGACCAGACCAGACCAACGCACTACCAAATTAGGAACGCTGGTCAATCGTTCCAATCGGTTTCTTCAAATCAGCCGCTGAAGGGAAGTATTAGGGTAACTTTACTCTGCGCTAGGTGACCCCCTCTTTGCCGGCCTCGGGTATTTCTCTAAAATCCCTCATTTATTCTCTTTCTGGAGTTGCTCGAAGATTGTCACTTGGGATTTCAAGCTCTGTCTCATATACTTCTTTTTCTTATGATTTGTTTTGTTTTGATTTTTCATTTCTTTGTTTTTCTTGCTGCAAAGCTTTGAATGTTATTCCTTAGAAGTCCACATATTTCTCATTAGTCATTGAAAAATTACAGATTGAATTGCGGGAATTCTTGTTAGTGCCGCCATGGATGAGGTTTGCGAGGGTAAGGACTTTTCGTTCCCTAAGCACGAGGAGGTGGTGCTTGAGTATTGGTCTGATATCAGGGCATTTGAGACCCAGCTTGAGCGCACAAAGGACCTTCCTGAGTATATTTTTTATGATGGCCCTCCGTTCGCCACTGGTCTTCCACATTATGGTCACATCTTGGCGGGAACCATCAAGGACATTGTCACCCGGTATCAGGTTATGACCGGTCATCACGTGACTCGTCGCTTTGGATGGGACTGCCATGGATTGCCTGTTGAGAACGAGATTGATCAGAAGCTAGGGATCAAGAGGAGAGACGATGTGTTGAAGATGGGGATTGACAAGTACAATGAAGAATGCAGAAGTATAGTCACGAGATATGTGGGGGAATGGGAAAAAATCATCACGCGTACTGGTCGATGGATTGACTTTAAAAACGACTATAAGACTATGGACTTGAAATTCATGGAGAGTGTTTGGTGGGTCTTTTCTCAGCTCTTCGAGAAAGGTCTTGTCTATAAAGGCTTCAAGGTTAGTTGGTTTATACATAATCTATCTTCATTTGCACAGTTCGCTAACATTCATAATGAGTGCTTGTATTATATTATGAGTTGCTTCTTCGTTCTTTCATGGCATTTTTTTTTTTAAATTTTTAAAAAGATAGGGATAGGGGTGAGAGGAAATGTGGAATTTCAAGACCTGTGGGATAACTCATTTTGTTCGACTAGATGTAGGATTTGAGGGTTGTCCTTAATTATTTTGAAGGTTCAATCTTTATTCCAAGATATTTTACGAACGTCGTGAATACTACATTCTTGCAACTCCTATTGTCTATGACGAAAATGGATTGCTACGTCAGGCTCTTTTGTGTACAATTAGGAGATCGTTTTGGCGTTAGCAATAGTCCTTGTAAAATACAATCAATTTGTTCTGTGTTCCTTTCTCATCTTCTTCAAATTAGGCTTTGGCCCCTAGGGGGAAGATTTTTGCTTCAAGGGGACATAAGTAAGGGGACCCCTTTTGCCCTTCCTCTTCATCCTGGTGGTGGATGTTTTAAGTTGGCTAGTGTGCGTGGCGTGGCAAAGGGGATGGTTGAGGGGTTTCAGATGGGTAAGGAGTTATTTCACCGATCTCATCTTATGGCCCTTAATCCTTGCTCTCCTGCCACTATAATTGTCGTCGAAGGCTATAAAAAAGGTTTCTGATCTATGATAACTACCCGCTTAGAGTTGTTTGATGCGGGCAAGGTATGGGGTCTATGGTCTGCCACTCGAGAGGAGCTTAGAGGTCATGTAAAGAAGGTGAAAGGTGGGTAGAGTGGTAAGAGGAGAGAGAGTGTAGAGAGAGTTCATCTATTCAGTTTTTGCTAGTTTTATTGGTTCCTAAAACCATGTAATTATAATTAACTGCAATTAATTTGATTCAATTATTAGTTATGAGTTCAAATATAAATTTGTTTGCGTTGTTGCTTACTTAGGTCATGCCATATAGTACTGGTTGCAAGACGCCACTTTCAAACTTCGAAGCTGGTCAAAGCTATAAGGTTTGGGTCTCTTTCTTCAATTGGAAATTTGTCTTTACATTAAATATCAGTCGAATCTTCTGTTTTGTATATAGACGCCCTGGACATGTATGATAGGAAACAAAATTTCGATGTTTGTTATTATCAAATTTTCAATGAAATGTCTTCTCTTTCTTAAGAATTTTAATATATTTTTTAGAACTAAATTTTATGATGACTAGTGTTCATATAAAAAGTCTTGCATTCTTTTAATGATTATAATTATTACAATAATTATTTGTTTGTTTAAACATTCCCATCACATAAAACTTGGGAAACACCTCTTAATATGGAAAAGTTCATCAATTTTTCCCATAAACTTTGAATTTTATCAAAATGTTTCTTAGCTTTGGTAAGTGTTGCAATCTCAATCTTAAAATTGATCAAATTTTAGAATTTTCACCTTGAAATAGGATTGCTTTTGAAAATTCATTTAAAAAATTATTCTTACATATTTTGGGAGAATTGTTAAATGACTGATTTTGTGCATTAGCTGAGCTTAATTTTGTGTTTGGTTTGATTCTTGTTGAAATTAGTGAGTCTTGGGCGAATTTTTCCTTTACTTTTTTTTTTAAGTTAAAACCAGTAAGTAAACTTAGTAGAAATTGCTATATTTGTTTAAGTTTAGGGTGCAATGGGATGAAATTAGAATTTTAGGGTAAAATTGATACACCATTCTAAGTTCAGATAAAAATTGATTTTTTTCCTCAAAGGTATGATGCTCTGTTTCATTTTTTATGATATAAGAAAATTATTTAGTGAACTTTTAATTTGCCATTGTTGTTAGAAAATAATAGTTTAAATATACAAAATGGTTTTTGATATAATTTTTTTTAATACTTTATTTGGGATAATAAATAGTATTTAAGCACGTTATATATTTTTTAATTGGCAAATATTAGAATCAGTAATTAAAGCAATGATATTTTTACTTTAAACAGGATCAGGTTGGGTTTAAAGGAAAACCCACATTTCGTTCATTGGGTCCATTTGGTGTATGTAGCATCGATTTTCAAATCAAATTTCAGTCTTATGCTTTAGTGGTTGAGTGAATAAAATTTCATGCCCTGCAATTGCATTATCAGTTTACTAATCACTTTTCTAGATGCCAGTTAATGTATGAGTTGTTGATTTGCATGAGATTTACTTATGGTACATCTTCTGATATCCAAACCTTGCACAGGATGTCCCTGATCCTGAAATCATGGTAACTTTTCCAGTACTCGGGGATCCGCAAAATGCAGCTTTTGTGGCTTGGACAACAACTCCATGGACCCTTCCGAGTAATCTTGCCCTTTGTGTTAATGCAAATTTTGTCTATGTGAAGGTCTGATGACATGAATTTATTTTTGTTATATTACTTTTTGTCTATGTGAAGCTTTTATTCCTTTTATTTATAATTGATAACCTAATATAGTTGGAAAAAAAAATACCAGGTTCGCAACAAGGCATCTGGAAAAGTTTATGTGGTTGCTAAATCCCGATTGTCAGCTCTACCTGTTGAGAAACAAAAAGTGAATGCACCAAATGGTTCTACCGAAGTTGTTAACAAGTCAAATCCTAAGAAAAAAGGTTCCTCAAATTCAAAAACAGAGAACTCAGTGGAGGACTCATATGAGGTATTGGAGGAAGTATTGGGAGCTTCTCTTGTGGGTAAAAAGTAAGCAATTTTGTTATTTTCAATATGTGTTTTAATGATTTTAGCAAGGCTGCTATTTTTTTTTGTTTTGTTCCTGAATGTTTATGAAATTGTATCTACTATCATGTTGAAGGATATTAAATTTACTATTTATTTTGCAGGTACGAGCCACTGTTTGATTACTTTAAAGAGTTCTCTGATGTGGCATTTAGAGTTGTTGCAGATAATTATGTAACTGATGATAGTGGTACGGGTATTGTCCATTGTGCTCCTGCATTCGGTGAAGACGACTATCGTGTTTGCATTGAGAACCAAGTGATCAATAAGGTCTGTGTTGAAGATTCTTTAATTTTTTTTTTATTATGACTTCACGCTACATGATTGGTGCCGATCAAGAAAAGTGATATTGAATTATTTGTATGTAAAAGAGTGGCTCGAACACTCACAAATATAAAAGAAATAGAAAACTTTTGATTAGCCCATCATATTGTTTTCAAGGATGAGAAACCTCCTCTCCCTCCTCTCT